ACAGACTTTCTTACCTGGGCTGGCTTCACACCGTGATCCTCAGATCTCAGCCTCCTGAGTAGCTAGGATTACAGGCAAGAGTCACAGGTGCCTGTCCCATGAGACTCTGTTCTCCAATTAACTACTAAAAAGCCAGAAATGGAGCTGTAGTTCAAAGTGGTTGAGCACTAACCTCAAGCACCTGCAGTTTGAGTTATAGTCTCTATGTTTGGGGTTCAACTGAAAGGATAAGTTGGGGAAGCTTGTGGTTCTGAACTGTTAAGATTCTGACTGGCCTGAGGTATAGCCTCAGAGTCATTACTGAAAGAAGTTATGCTGACAGAACAGATAAGCCCGAATACTAGACTAACTCTCAAGAGAACTGGAAAGAATGGAGGGGAAGGAGAAAGAAGGGATTCATCCTATCAGAGTAGAAATCTTTGAGCATTTTATTAAGATGAAAGTAATAAAGCTGATGTGATATAGCCCAGCCTTCTGAGAGGTTAGGTAGATAAATGAGAACTTCTGCCGGTTCCTAAATGTTTTTTTTTTTTTTTTTTCATTCTTGTTTAGGGAAATTCAAGGAACATTACTTTGCCAGGTGCTGGTAACATGCTTGTTATCCTTGCTACTCAGAAGGCTGACATTTAAGGATCATAGTTAAAAGCCAGCATGGGCAAGAAAGTCTGTGAGATTCTTAGCTCCAACTAACCATTAAAAAGCAGAAATGGAAGTGTGAATCAAATTGTAAAACTCCAGGGCTGGGAAGGTAGCTCAGCGGTAGAGTGCATGCTTTGCAAGCATGAGGCCCTGGGTTCGATTCCTCAGCACCACGTAAACAGAAAAAGCCAGAAGTGGCGCTGTGGCTCCAGTGGTAGAGCGCTAGCCTTGAGCTGAAGAGCTGAGGGACACCACCCAGACCCAGAGTTCAGGCCCCACGACCGGACCCCCCAAAAAAAAAAAAACTAAACTAAACTAAAATGTGTTTGTGAAATCATAATGGAAGCTACAGCTAGGGTGGTAAGAGTTGTTGAAAATGAGGTGGAAGTTTGCATTAAAATTTATGTTCTTTCAGGCTCTGGTGGCTCATTCCTATAATCCTAACTACTCAGGAGGCTGAGATCTGAGGATCATGGTTCAAAGACAGCCTAGGCAGGAAACTCAGAAGATTCTTATCTTCAATTAACCAGGAGAAAACAGGAAGTAGCACTGTGGTTCAAAGTGATAAAGCACTAGCCTTCAGCAGAAGAGCTCATGGACAGCACCCGGGCCCTGAGTTCAGGCCCCAAGAGAGATAAACAAATAAGTAAGTAAATTATGTTCTGTTGAATGCCTGTAATCCCAGCACTTGGAAGTCACAAGCAAGAAGATCCTGAGTTCAAGGCCAGCCTGAGATATACAGCCCAGGTGGTCTCAAAAACCTAATAAATAGCCGGGCGCTGGTGGCTCACGCCTGTAATCCTAGCTACTCAGGAGGCTGAGATCTGAGGATCGCGGTTCAAAGCCAGCCCGGGCAAGAAAGACCATGAGACTCCTATCTCCAATAAAAACCACCAGAAAACCGGAAGTGGTGCTGTAGCTCAAGTGGTAGAGCGCTCGCCTTGAGCTGAAGAGCTGAGGGACAGCGCCCAGGCCCAGAAGTTCAAGCCCCACGACCGACAAAAAACAAAAACAAAAAAACCTAATAAATAAAACAAAACAGGTATGTTTGAACAGACTTATTTGTAAATAGCATCTCTTTAGCAATGTATCCAACTGGGAACTATTTCTCCTTCCTAGTATTATAAAACAGATGTCATGTAAATTTCTTTAGGCAATATTAAATGGGTGTTCTAAATAGAAACAAATAAGATTTCCAAGCCCATAAAGATTAACTGCAACAAGTGTAAGATAGAAGCTGAAGTGTCAAATAGAGTGCTGGAATGTATCTCAGAGGTAGAGCACTTGCCTAGCATGTTCGTGACCTTGGGTTAGATCCTCAGCCCACAATGAAAGGAAGAAAGGAAAGGAAAGAAAAGGACTGTGAAGGGAAGGAAAATATGAACAGGGGAGCATTAGTAGCTCATAATCCTAGTTACTCAGGAGGCTGACACCTGCAGCATTAATGTTTGAAGCCAGTCTGAATATAAATTTGAAACTATCTCCAATTAACCAGCAAAATGCTGCACTAGAAATGTGGCTCAAGTGGTAGAGTGCAAGCCATGAACAAAAAAGCTGAGACAAAGCTTTAGGCCCTGAGTTTAAGCCATGGTTCTGGTGTGTGTGTGTGTGTGTGTGTGTGTGTGTCTGTGTGTGTGTGTGTGTCTGTGTCTGTGTGTGTGTGTGTCTGTGTGTGTGTCTGTGTCTGAGTGTGTGTGCATGCACACACATACACAAATGTATGAACAAATTCAGTGTACAATGGCCTTAGGTAAAGTGCATGCTGGGCCGGGCGCTGGTGGCTCACGCCTGTAATCCTAGCTATTCAGGAGGCTGAGATCTGAGGATCGCAGTTCAAAGCCAGCCCAGGCAGAAAAGTCCATGAGACTCTTATCTCCAATAAACCACTAGAAAACCGGAAGTGGCGCTGTGGCTCAAGCGGTAGAGCGCTCGCCTTGAGCTGAAGAGTGCAGGGACAGCGCCCAATCCCAGAGTTCAAGCCCCACGACCGACCAAATAAATAAATAAAGTGCATGCTGGGGCTTACAGCAAGAACTTCTGAGCACCACCCAGTGATACCTGCTGGGACTTCAAACAGGATAATTTGAGGAGAAATTACTAGCTTGCTATTAGATATTGAGTGACACTACTCCTATTTGAGAAGTGACATAAAAATACTGTAATGGACTGGGTGCCAGTGGCTTACGCCTGTAATCCTAGCTACTCAGGACGCTGAGATTTGAGGATCATGGTTCAAAGCCAGCCCGAGCAAGAAAGTCCGTGAGATTCCAATAAGCCACTCAGAAAAACAGAAGTGCTGCTTAAGAGGTAGAGAGCTAGCCTTGAGCTGAAGAGCTGAGGGACAGTGCCCAGGCCCAGAGTTCAAGCCCCACAACTGACCAAAAAAAAAAAAAAAAAAGCTCAGGGACAGCACCTATGCCCTGAGTTCAAGCCCCACGACCAACAACAATAAATAAATATATATATAAATACACATGATACATGATAATATATACAGTGCTCTATGCATATTTACACAAACAGACTAAAGGATGGTATACTTACTTAGAGGGCAGTCTAAAAGTATAATTCCTCTAAGCAACTAATGAACTACTTATTAAAATTAATACCAGGAAGTGGAAACATGTTGGGGGAAGGCATAGAAAAGGAGGGAGGGAGGGCTGGGAATGTGGCTTAGTGGAAGAGTGCTTGTCTAGCATGCATGAAGCCCTGGGTTCGATTCTTCAGTACAACATAAACAAAAAAAGCCAGAAGTAGCGCTGTGGCTCAAGTGGTAGAGCACTAGCCTTGAACAAAAGAAGCTCAGGGACAGTGCCCAGGCCCTGAGTTCAATCCCCATGTCTGGCAATAAATAAATGAGGGAAGGAAGGAAGGAAGGAAGGAAGGAAGGAAGGAAGGAAGGAAGGAAGGAAGGAAGGAAGGGAGGGAGGGAGGGAGGGAGGGAAGGAAATAACAGTTGGATGCTGGTGGACCATTCCTATAATCTTTATTTATTTATTTATTTATTTTCCGTTGTGGGGCTTGAACTCTGGGCCTGGGTGCTGTCCCTGAGCTCTTCAGCTCAAGTTAAGCGCTCTACAACTTGAGCCACAGCGCCACTTCTGGTTTTCTGGTGATTAATTGGAGATGAGACTCACAGATTTTCCTCTCCTGGCTGGCTTTGAACTGGGCTCCTCAGATCTCAGCCTCCTGAGTAGCTCGTATTACAGGCTTGAGCCACTGGCACCCGGCTCCATTCCTATAATCTTAGCTACTCAGGTGTGAGGTCAACTGGGGCAGAAGAGTTCACTAGATTCTATTTCCAAAATAACCCACAAAAAACAGGACTAGACGTGGTTCAAGTGATAGAGCAATTTTGAAGACCTGAGTTAAAACCCTAGTACCACTAAGAAAACCTCAAAACAACGCTACATGGAAATATACACACCATTAACCTCACTTTGTTTGTTGTTTGTTTTTTGTTTTTGTTTTTGTCAGTCATGGGGCTTGAACTCTGGGCCTGAGTGCTGTCCCTCAGTTCTTCAGCTCAAGGCTAGTGGTCTACCACTTGAGCCACAGCGCCACTTCTGATTTTCTGGTGATTCATTGGAGATAAGAGTCTCACAGACTTTCTAGCCTGGGCTGGCTTTGAGCTGAGATCCTTAGCTCTCAGCCTCCTGAGTAAATAGCATTATAGGCGTGAGTCACCTGCTCCTGGCTAATCTCACTTTTTATTTATTTGTTTGTGTGCTAGAACAGGAGCTTGAATTTAGGGTCTGGGCACTGTCCCTTAGCTTTTTCACTCAGGACTATAACTCTGCCACTTCAGCTACAGCTCTATTCCCAACTTTTTGGTAGTTAATTGGAAATAAGACTCTCACAGACTTTCCTACCCAGGCTGGGTTCAAACTGTAATCCTTAAATCTCAGCTTCCTGAATAGCTAGGATTACACGTAGAAGCTACTAGTGCCTGACCCTCTTTGCCTACTTTTAAATTAGATTATAAAAGCTCTTTATATATTTTGGGTGCATGTTCCCTTTGAAAAAATATAATTTTTACCATAAAATTACATTACATAGCTGGGTGTTGATGGCTTATGCTTGTAATCCTAGCTATTTCAGGAAGCTGAGATCTGAGAACTGCAGTTAAGATCTAGCTGATGCAAGAAAGTCCTTGTCTCTCATCTCCAATTAACCACTGAAAAAATCCCTAGAATCTGCACATGTGCATGCGTGCTCGCGCACGTGTGCTCACACACACACACACACTCAAAGATTATATTACCTCTTGGATTAAAATACAATGCAATAAAATAAAGATCTATACAAGACTGTAAATCTGAAGCTGGATATGTAGCTAAATGGTAGAGCATTTGCCTAGCATGTATGAGACCCTTGGTTTGATGCTCATTACCAAACCAAACAAGTACATGACAAACCAAAAGCAAGATTGCAAATCTGCCTGGTATTACTTAAAAGTCACTGGAAATAGATTTTTCATCAGACTGTGATTATGTCTGCCTTCTTTCCTCATGCACCCATGGATATCTTTCTTCTTCTTTCCCTCTAGCAGAGACTGCCCTCTGCTTCGTGTATTGGCTGGTGAGGTTGCTGGTGAGGAGACGGAGGGTTCTCTACTCTGGATTGGTTCATGGCTTTTGGAAGGAAACCACTATAGTAAACCTACTTCTTTGCCTGCATCCTCAAGGTGGCTGGGGATGGGAAGTTCTGGGATCTGCTTTAGGCTTGCCTCATCCTGTCAACCAACCAGCTGCTGCCTAGCCCCAGGACAGAGAGCAAGCCTGACTCTCTGGAAAAGGCAACATTCAGCAAGGTCCCAGTGTAGCTGGAATGCGAGAGTCTGGAGGGGAAAGGGCAAAGTTAATACTAAAAGTCAACTTGGACACCATATCTGGCTTCAAGCAACTTCTTTTTTTTTTTGGAGGGAGGGGGGGTCCAGTTGTGGGGCCTGAACTCTGGGCCTGGGCGCTGTCCCTCAGCTCTTCAACTCAAGGCTAGCACTCTACAACTTGAGCCACAGCGCCACTTCCGGCTTTTTTCTTTTTGCTTATGTGGTGCTGGGGAATCGAACCCAGGGCCTCATGCATGCAAGGCAAGCGCTCTACCACTGAGCCACCTTCCCAGCCCCTTCAAGCAACTTCTCTTTTTTTTTTTTTTTGTCGGTCGTGGGGCTTGAACTCTGGGCCTGGGCGCTGTCCCTCAGCTCTTCAGCTCAAGGCGAGTGCTCTACCACTTGAGCTACAGCGCCACTTCCGGTTTTCTGGTGGTTTATTGGAGATAGGAGTCTCACGGTCTCTCCTGCCCGGGCTGGCTTTGAACCGCGATCCTCAGATCTCAGCCTCCTGAGTAGCTAGGATTACAGGTGTGAGCCACCAGTGCCCGGCTCAAGCAACTTCTTAATGAGAGGCAGAGTTGAAATTCAAACACAGTTCTGTTTAATACTAAAGTCCTTCTGTGCCCATAATCATGATACCAAACTGGCTTCCAGATAAATGCAAATCTGCCATTCACTGCTTTGTTCTTGAGGGTATGAAGAAGTAGCTTGGCTTTTCTGAACTTCAGTTTCCTCATCTGTAAAACACAGGGCATGTGGGATTCAGTAGAGCTACTGTGGATGAAAAGAAGTGGGCTGGGAAGGTGGCTCAGTGGTAGAGCGCTTGCCTTGCATGCATGAGGCCCTGGGTTTGATTCCCCAGCACCACATAAGCAAAAAGAAAAAAAGCCGGAAGTGGCGCTGTGGCTCAAGTGGTAGAGCGCTAGCCTTGAGCTGAAGAGCTGAGGGACAGCGCCCAGGCCCAGAATTCAGGCCCCACAACCGGACCCCCCCCCAAAAAAAAAGTAATCCACCAAGCACATGTAGTAGTCTAATAGGGGTTAGATATTTTGATAGATAGTTCTATTAAAAGAAATGTAAAGTATTACACTACCCCCAGAGCAATGTGTTCTATGTGCTCTGGAGTCCATAGAAAAGAATAATCTACTCTGAGTCTCTTATTGCCAGGAAGTCCCCTGAACTTGCTCCAGGCTGCTCTATTGGGGGCCTCAGGATGGAGGATGCAGGTGAGACCGGTGAAGTCTATCCTGTGGGATGCAGTAGAAGAGGCCAGGGCCCGCCAGGCTAGCTTGAAGACACGGCGTTTAGGCCTTCTTGGAGACACCTTGACATATGGTGATCTTAAACAACTAGGCAGGGCACTACAAGAACTACAGGTAAGCAAGATGAGGTCTGGGAGCACCCGCGCTGGCAGTGTCCAGAGCCTATTCTGAACTCTTTCTCCCTAGGTGATAAAAACTTGGAGCCAGTGGCCAAAAAACCAGGTACCCAAAGGGAACAGAGAGGAGGCTATGGGGCACCCAGAACCACATGTAGGTCTTCTCATGCAACCTCTTGGCAATCCTATTATTTTTTTTTATTTATTTTTTGCCAGTTGTGGGGCCTTAACTCTGGGCCTGGGCGCTGTTCCTCAGCTCTTCAGCTCAAGGCTAGTGCTCTACCACTTGAGCCACAGCACCATTCCGGCTTTTTCTGCTTATGTGGTGCTGAGGAATCAAACCCAGGCCCTCATGCATGCAAAGCAAGCGCTCTACCACTGAGCCACCTTCCCAGCCCCCCATATTTATATTTTTATTCTTTTTTTTTTTTTGGTCCGTCGTGGGGCCTAAACTCTGGGCCTGGGCGCTGTCCCTCAGCTCTTCAGCTCAAGGCTAGCACTCTACCACTTGAGCCACAACACCACTTCGGCTTTTTCTGCTTATGTGGTGCTGAGGAATCAAATCCAGGGCCTCATGCATGCAAGGCAAGCGCTCTACCACTGAGCTACCTTCCTAGCCCCTATATTTTTATTCTTGTTTGTTTACAGGGCAGTCCATTCATTCAATGATTTGTTGATTCCCATTTATCAATTATTTACTAGGTGGTGGACATAGTGATGTATCAGTCCTGGAAATTCTCTAGCCTGTGGAGTTTATAATCTGCTAGGGAGAAATAACTACCACACCATGATCAGTACTCTGAAAGGCTTATAAGCTAATGGGTCTATGGTACATTGAATTTAGCCTTGGCAAGAGAGGAAAGGAAGATTTGATGAAGGAAGTAATTTCATGAAGGAAGTGGTGGAGGTTAATGAAGATGAGAAAAGAATATTTCAATGCTGGAAGCCAATGGCTTACACCTGTAACCCTAGCTACTCAGGAGGCTGAGATCTGAGGATCTCTGTGAGAAGACAGTGTGAGCAGGAAAGTCTGAGACTCTTATCCCCAATTAACCACCCAAAAACCCAGATGTGGAGCTTTGGATCAAGTGGTAGAGTTCTAGCCTTGAGCAAAAAAGTTCAGGCATAGAGCTCAGGCCCTGAATTTAAGCCCCAGGATCGACAACCACTGCCCTCTCCCCCCAAAAAGCCTTTTTTTTTCAGGTAGGAAGAATGATAGAAACTCAGAGATGAGCATGTGCTTGCAATCTCTGGGGGGCTGGAAAGAGCTCAATATGCTAGGGAACAGAAGCTAAGGAAAAAGCCAAGGAAAGAAGACCAGAGAGGGAGGTTAGAGCCAGCTCACACAGGATCTTGCAAATTTACTGAGATGTTTGAACTCACTTGAAGGTGGAAAGCAAGCCATGGAAGTATTTTAGGCAAGGATGACATCATTTTTCCCAAATGAGCAAATTGAGGCTTAGAGAAGAGATGTGGATAGCTCAGAGTCAGCAACAGAATCAAGGGCAGCAGAGGTGCAAATCACACTGAAGCCCTTGGACTCCTAATGCCTTTCGTCTCTTTGAATGTGATCCTTCTTTGTACAGTAGAGGGCGCTGTCTTCCACGAGCTGTTGCAGGGTGGTAGAAACCCGTTTTACTGTTCTTTTCCGTTTTGTTTTTACTTATCAATGACCATTTTTTATACAGCCCTGGGCCTGGAGAAATCAGGCATACTATATTAGCTTTCATTTATTGAGCAATTGCCTGAAGGTGGAAAACTGTGAAGCTTTCAAAGGCTATTCATCTGCTTATGGTCATACAGCTAATAAAAAATGAAAGTGGGGGAGAGGAAATGAAGGAAGGAAAGAGAAAGACAGAAAGAAAGATAGAAAAACAGAAATAAATAAATACATAAAGAGAGAGAGAAAGAAAGAGAAAGAAAGAGAGAGAAACAAAGAAAAGGTGAGAGCTCTTAAACAGTATGATTTTAAGTTTCAAGTTAAACCTGCACTTCCTAGCAGGAATGGTGGAAAAGGAATTGTTCTTCATCTTCTCTCAAACGGATAGATTTATCAATAAGTCCCAACCTAGGCCTCAAGGGGGAGCCCCAAGGTGGATCTGGGATTTGGGGATTAGCTAGGTGTGTGTATGGGTGGGGGGTGGCTGATTAATTACATTTTCCTCTAGTAACAGGAAGAGCATCACCTCTAGGGTCTGAGCTCCGCCAAAAGCATCCTTTCAGGGATTCCAAGGAACAGGTAATACCTCATCTACCCCAGGAACAACTGGAGACAGCTGGGGCAGTGAAGAATCCCAGAACCCAGCTAGTCTACCTCCTGTTAGCTTTGTTCTAATATCTAAGGGAATATGGAGACTCTGACATGCAAGGTCACTGGATCCATAGGGAAGCAGCAAAGGGCTGCTTTGATTCAGCATATGGGATTCATGCTACTATGGCACCTATTGACAGAGCTAGTACCTTTTCTCTCAACCCACAGCCCCTGAGTCTGCCCAGGCCACAGGCTGTTCTGGGCCACTTAGGTCTTGGGAGCAGTTTTGGCTAATCTTCGACTGATACCATCTAGGCTAAGCAGACCCCAGATGTTGCCCTGAAGTTCTTCCTGTCCCAAGTCTGGAGGCAGAGACTGCAAAAGCAGCACCAAATTTTAATCCAAGAGGAGCTGAAGCATTTGGAACAAGAGCAGTGGGGCAGGTGAAGAGATCAAGGATCTGGTGACTGAAGAGGTGAGGAGCATCAAGTAAGGGGTTGAGGGACCTTGTAATGGGGCCAGACATGGTGCAAGGGGACAGCATCAAGTACCAATCGTAACTGGCCCACATCATCACACAACTCTCAACCTTGTGGGGAACAAAGCTGTGATGGAGAAGGGAGGGGCTGGAAGGAACAGAGGTTTACTTCATTCAGGTTAAAGTAGATAAGAGGAGATGGCATGTAGGCTGAGACTCAGAGAAGAAATAGGAAATCAGTCAGGGGACTTCACTAGACTCAGCTCTCCACAAGGGCAGTTAGTGCTCACTCCAGGGACACTCAATAAAACATAACTGAACAATTTAAGAACAAAACGTGTGCTGGGCACTGGTGGCTCATGCCTGTAATTGTAGCTACTCAGCAGGCTGAGATATGAGGAATGTTGTTCGAGGCCAGCCTGTGCAGGTAAGTCCATAAACTCTTGTCTCCAGTTAACAAGCAAAAAGCCTGAAGGGGAACTGTAGCTCAAGTAGTAGAGCACCAGCCTTGAGCAGAAGGGCTGACAGTGCCTGGGTTTTGAATTCAAGCCCCAGTACCAGCACACACACACACACACACACACACACACACACACACACACACACACACACACACACACACGAAGAAGAAGAAGAAGAAGAAGAAGAAGAAGAAGAAGAAGAAGAAGAAGAAGAAGAAGAAGAAGAAGAAGAAGAGGAAGAGGAAGAAGAGGAAGAAGAGAAAGAGGAGGAGGAGAGGGGGGGAGGGGGAGGGAGGAGGAGGAGGAGGAAGAGGAGAAAGGAAGGAAGGAAGGAAGGAAACAAAACATTAAGCTAGGTGTAGGTGGCTCACACCTATGATCCTAGCTACTCAAGAGGCTGAGATCTGAGGATTGCTGTTCCAAGCCAGACCAGGGAAGGAAAGTCCATGGGACTCGTATCTCCGATAAACCACTCAGAAAAAGCGAGAAGTGGCACTGTGGCTCAAATGGTGCAGCGCTAGACTTGAGCACAAAGAGGCTCAGGGACAGTGCCCAGGCCCTGAGTTGAAGACTCAGGACTGGCAAGAAAAAAAATACCTGTAGAGAGGTGGGAGGGGTGGGGTCAAGTAGATAAAACCATGTGAGCAGGCAAGACATGGAAAGACATAGCTAGAGCTATGCTGTAGCCTAACATGTATATAGTAAGGTAAAACTTAAAATTTGTCCCATCTCTGTGGCATTCTCCCAAGCAGGACAGGCATTGCCATCTCAACTCTGTTCCTCCCTAGCTAAGGAAATTTGGGCAAGTTAGATCACTCCCCTGATCTATAGTTATTACGAGATAAAATGAGATAAACGTGTTTAACATAGAGCCTGGCTCACAGGCAGCCTGCAAAGAAGGGTACAAATGTTTTTTGAAGGCCTATAAGAAAAGTCAGAGGGGCTGGGAAGGTGGCTCAGTGGTAGAGCGCTTGCCTTGCATGCATGAGGCCCTGGGTTCGATTCCTCAGCACTACATAAGCAAAAAGAAAAAAGCTGGAAGTGGTGCTGTGGCTTAAGTGGTAGAGCGCTAGCCTTGAGCTGAAGAGCTGAGGGACAGCATCCAGGCCCAGAGTTCAGGCCCCACAACCGGACCCCCCCCCAAAAAAAAGAAAAAGAAAAGTCAGAGATGGCACCAGGAGCAGACAGAGCTGAGACTCCAGGTGGAGTCCCTGCAGGCACAGCAGGACGCTGCAGAACAGGACCTGGTGGGCTTCTATGATCTGCATGTGCCAGCTACCGGAGCACGGACATGCCACATGCTGCAGGTCAGTGGGGACAGAAGGCAGACCTCAAGCTGCTGCCAAGGCTAGCCGATCAATGGGTATCTCTGAATCTGGGCACAGGTATTTTGAGCCTGGCAAGGACTATGGGAAGAGAAGACCACAACCACAGAGCACCCTTACCGCAGCCTGCTGGCTAGTGTCCTGCAAGACACCATCGATCTGGCTTCCCTGAATGAGGAGCTCCAAATCCAGAACCAGCAACTTTGGCAATGTACAGGCCAGTCCATCTGGATTCCTGCCCTGGGGAGTAATCTGATCAGGAACTCCACAGAGGCAGTTTCCTTCCTCATTCTTTAGGGCCTTGGGAGAAGGTAGGACAAAACAAGCAAGCCGTCCCTCACTAGGGATAATTACTACCACCAACCAAATAACTATGATTCATTTGTGTCAGTTCTGGCTAAGCACATAATTTTTATAAACTCATTTTGCCTTTTCAGCTACCTATACTGTAGGTACCATTTGATCCTCATTTCAGAGACATAGCAACTGAAGACCGAAGAGGCTAAGTAAACTCTGCTCCCAAACAGTTAAGTGGCAAAGGCAGACTTTAAATTCAAGCTTGGCCGCAGTTGTACATCAGACAAGTAGGTCACAAGCTTCACTGTGCACCCAAATCACCTAGGCAACTTAAAATAGCCTCCTGAGAAAGCAAAACCATGAATTTGTACATCTGAGCAAAACACAATAGATGCACATCTAATGTACCATAATGAAACCCCGATGTAATTAATACACACACACATAAGTCAAGAAAGTTAAACAGCCTCCAATGATGGGGGGAAGGGACACTGGTGAGAAAGGGGAGGGATGAGGATAAATTGTTTGCATGCATGAAAACAGAACATGAAATTTCTTTTAAGAGGGGCAAATGGGAAGAGGAGGAGTAGGGGAGGGAGTAAGGTTGACTAGGATGCATTGTATGCATGTGGAAATGTCACAATGCGATTTTTAGTACAACTAATAGATGCTTAAAATAGTTTCCCAAGCCACACTGTTAGATTCTGCTTTGACAGGTCTGAGGTAAACCTGGCACTCTGGTGCTAGGTACAGAACTGGTTGTCTCTTCCAAAGAACTACATACACTAAGTGTCCATTTTGACAAGCTCATCAGTTATTCTAGCATGGAAGCAGGGTCTGCATTACTCTGGCTATGACTTTAAAGGACAAATGGCCACAGGAATTATGAGTGAGGGAACCAGAGGAAAATAGAGCCAAATCCATTGTGGTCTTAAGCATTTTTTTCTGGTCTTGTTTAGTTTCTCCTTTGAGAATAGTACCTTCTAGACCCAAGACTCAGTATATTCCCTAGGGCTCAAGTTTTAGGCTTTAGGGAAATTCCAAAAGCCAGCAGGAAGCCAGGCATTGGTGGCTCACATCTGTAATCCTAGGGTGCCAGTGGCTCATAACTGTAATCTTAACTACTCAGGATGCTGATCAACAACAATCAGAAACCTGGAAGTGGCGCTGTGGCTCAAGTGGTAGAACACTAGCCTTGAGCTGAAGAGCTCAGGGACAGCGCCCAGGCCTGAAATTCAAGCCCCACCACCACCACCACCACCACCAGCAGCAACAGCAACAACAACAAAGGAGGCTGAGAGCTGAGATGTGGTTCAGGTCTAGTGCAGGCAGGAAAGTCTGAGACTATCTCCAATTAACTACCAGAAAAATAATAATCAGGGGCTGGGAAGTTGGCTCAGTGGTAGAGCGCTTGCCTTGCATGCCTGAGGCTCTGGGTTCAATTCCTCAGCACCACATAAGCAAAAAGAAAAAAGCCGGAGGTGGTGCTGTGGCTCAAGTGGTAGAGCGCTAGCCTTGAGCTGAAGAGCTGAGGGACAGCGCCCAGGCCCAGAGTTCAGGCCCCACAACCGGACCCAAAAAAAAAAAAAAATCAGAAAACTGGAAGTGGTGCTGTGGCTCAAAGTGGTAAAGCGCTAGTTTTGACCAAAAGAGTTCAGGGACAGAACCCAGGCCCTGAATTCAAACCACATGACAAAAACAAAAAAAACAAAAAAAACCTGACGTCTTGACCCCATGGAGCACCCAATGAAAATGATGCCACTGGCAACAGCTGGGAGGATATTTTTCACTTAGTTTGTAAGGCATACCAAAATTAAGATACTCTGGAGATTAGGGAACAAAATTGTTTGATGGGAGTTATGTAGCACAGAACACACAGGACAACTGCAACTGGTTGTAGGAAGCACCCTACATCCTAGAACACTTTTTATTAAGACTTTATTGCTTCCACATTTAAACATTGATTGAGCTATACAAGTTTCCTGTACCTGGTCCCAGGTCACTATGCAGTTTCCCCAGGCTGTTGGGACAATACTATGAGAGGCAGGACCCCAAATGGGAAAGACGGTAACACCTAAGAGCCTTAAAAGTGGCAGAGGGATTCAAGAGGGCCCTTGGGGTGGGTCAGGAGTGTAAATTTAAGCTAGAGCCCAGGGGTAACATTCCCTGAGATGAGTCAAGTTCCAGCCCTCTCTAGAAATTCCAGAACAAAGGCTGTGTGGGGAGCGGCACTCAGAAGGGGCCTTCAGACCTTCTCCAGGCTCTGCTGGAGCTGGGGAGCTTGGTAGTGGCCTGAGTGATAGTTCTATGATTTGTGCCACTTAAGCCTTCCTGCAAGACAGTGGATGTATCCCTTACGTGGGAATCATGCACAGAGGCTAGGCTCAAGCAGCAAGTACTAGGCCTGGGGAAGTGGGTCTGCCGAGATGACCACAGATGTCCACACCCTTAAGCAACTATCTTCATGCAGGATGGGGTTCTCAGGCCTAGGACTGATGCTCCAAATTTGTTAATGTGGAGGAACAGAGTGGGGTTGTTTACTTAACCAAACTTACTCTTCATGTCTCCTAGGGGTACCCCTTAACCCACCTCCAAGACTAACTTGACTCTTACTTTTCCACATTTTCTCACAAGGCACTTGTTACAAGGCTACTGGGGAAATCCTGGTGGAGGGTGGGGGTGGGGTGGGGGAAGGCCAAAAGGCAGCCCAGTTCATGGCCCCTAATCTACAAGGTCAGAAGCAAAAATGGCTATGGTCAGGGGCTACTGCCTGCCATAGTACAGGCGCACAGCCAGGCCAATGAGTAATGTGGCCAGGAAAAAGGAGGCTGTGAGTTGCAGGCGGAGCAGGGCTGCTGAAAGCACAGCGTTGACTACCAGAGAGCAGGACACAACAAACAGGCGTGTGATGCTGCTGCCGTGCTTCATGACAGCTGACATGAGCAGCCCATTTACTGCCTGGCTCAGCACCACAAGTGCTGCCCATCCTGAGAAACCCTCTAAGAGACCTGGGCCTGGGCCACCCCCTGCATGCAGGCCAAGATTCAGAAGCACACCAAAAGTGTAGAGGAAGAGGTTCTGAAGAGCCAGTGGCAGCCGCTGGCGCTTCATGAGCAGCTCTGTGTATACAGATGACAGGCCTGAGATGAGGCAGTACAGGACGAGGAGCAGCAGTCCCAGTGGAGTGATATGCAAGGGCATGGGGCTGGCAACTGCTGCCAGAGGGGGCCCAGGAAGGTTGTTCCCAGGGTCCTGAAGGCCACCTGCTGCATAGCAGGCACCTGCAGCCATCAGTAGCAGCAGTGCTAATCCCTGGCGTGCTGAGAGGCGATGCCGGAGGCAGAGGCAGTAGAATAGGGCCGTGCTTCCGATCTTGAGATTGCTCAGCACCTGGTAGGTGCTGGGGTCCATGTAACGCTGCAGATAGATCACCAGGTTGTTGTTAGCGCCATAGAGGAGGGCTGATACTGCAAAAGGAGCAGCTTGGCGCCAGGGTGGGGCTCCCTGGGGCCACGCTTGCCAGCCCAGTAGGAGGGAGAAAGCGCACAGCAGTAGCTTGGTCAGCTCAGTGAGTAATACTGCTGATGAGGGCCGAAAGGGCATGCGGCCGTCCACACGGCACAGTGCCAGCAATGGAGCATGGGCACCATACATGGCAGTAGATAGGAGTAGCATTAGGGTCCAACGGGCCTGCCTAGGACGGCCCCGGTATGACATACCTCCATCCTCTATACTCATGGCCTACATCAGACCCTGGGTGGTCTGTGTAGCTAGCTAGGGGCAGACAGACTGGGGTGCTTGAGGGAAATCAAGTTATGAAGCTGGCTCCCAGGAAGGGAGAGCCATGGTACATTGCCAGAAAGAATATTGAGGATCAGGGTCAGCTGCAGAGTCGAGTTAGGGCTGCTGAACTACAGTCTTGGTGCCAGTCCCACAGAACTAAGGAGGGAATGAGTCCAAGGTGCAGCCTGACAAGCCTCTGTCCACCCTCTGCAGGAAGAAAAGCAAGGATAAAGGTGGCAGAACAAGTGGAGACAGCAAATGGATGACAGCAGGAGAAGCCAGGTAGAGCATCTGTGATTGAAAAGTCTCCACCTCCAGGGCCCAGCTGTTCATCCTGCCTCTTCCATGGGATCCAGAGCTAGTCAGGCCCCTTGCGAAATGACCTAAGGTAGTCCTTCAATGTCTTCTCCACGTTGGGCACAGCATATGCCTGAGCTGCGTAGATACCAGTACAAGTGCCCACTGCAAAGCCCAATACTGCTGATGCTCTCAGTTTGGCCACCAAATAGCCAGCCAGGAATCCCTTGAGGAATGGGGAGGATAACAGTGAGCCATCCTGAAAAAAAAAATGCAGAAGCAAACTGAGGTAGGAGAAAAATGAAGGAGGAAAAATCACACAGGCTCTCTACTTTCTCTGACCAGGAACTATTCAATTCAGGCTTAGAGAATTCCACTACCTGCTTCTCCTCAGGCAGCTATGGTATTTTCTTTCTTTCTTTTTTTCTTTTTGCTGGTTGTGGGGCCTGAACTTTGGGCCTGGGCGCTGTCCCTCAGCTCTTCAGCTCAAGTAGCTCTACTACTTGAGCCACAGTGTCACTTCTGGCTTTTTCTGCTTATGTGGTGCTAAGGAAATGAACCCAGGGCCTCATGCATGCAAGGTAAGCGCTCTACCACTGAGCCACCTTCCCAGCCCAGCTATGGTATTTTCTTAAAAAAATTTCTCAAGATTTTGGAGCTAGAAAAGAACTCAGGAGTTCTAATTCACAATATCAGAATCCTGGGGTTGGAAGGCTCCAACCACAGAATCCTACAGAGAAATCCTTTAGGGACCCAAATCCTGTATATTTCTCCAGCTCTGCTTTATAGCATGGTACACCAGAAATGTGGACAAGCTGATTTCCTGTCCCTCCTCATTTTCCTAATACTACTTCCCATCACAAAGCTTTGCATAGACTGTTTCATCAGTCTGAAAATATTCATTCCTCCCCACTTCACCTAGTTAGTTTTCACTTAAGATTGCAGGGGTGTGTGTGTGTGTGTTGCAGGGGTGTGTGTGTGTGTGTGTGTGTCTGTTTTGTTTTTTGGTGCCAGTCTTAGGGCTTAAACTCAGGGCCTGAGATTGTTTCTGAGCTTTTTTGCTTAAGGCTGGCACTCTACCCCTTGAGCCATAGCTCCACTTCTGGCTTGTTTGGTGGCGGCTAATTGGAAATGACATTTCCAATTTTCCATTCATTTTCCTGCCTGGGCTGGCTTCAAACCACAACAGAAGATCTCAGCCTCTTGAATAATTAGAATTACAAGTCTGTGAGCATCTACCAGTGTCTACTGGTAGAACACTTGTCTAGCAAGTACAAGGTCCCAAGTCCAGACCTCATTAGCACCAAAAATAAAATTTTAAAATGAATCTCTACTACCCATTTAACTAGTTGGGTATGGAAGCATAAAGTGAGTGGTAAAAGGAAAGGCCCTACCTGGCTCATTCCACTGTTGACCTCGTTTTCCACGCGTTGCTGCAGGTGCTCCAATTGGTTCTTGAGAAATGCCAGGTCCTTAAGCTTGGGCAGAGAATCCTAGGACAAGGGAGAGGCTGGCTCCAGTAGACTTGACCCAGCCCCATTCCCTGCTCAATTCTATCAGAGGCTGGGAGTTAGGAGGAGTAGGGTGAGCCACAGAGATTTCTTCCTAGAAAATCTTCCTGAGATAGCAGTAGTAAAGGAGGAAAGGCATTGTAAAGCAAAGAGTTCACATGGGGGCCAAGTGAGGAGGGGACAGATGGACTCTGCATCGGTAACTTTCAACAACCCATACAGGAATTTTACGCAGCAAGTTTTGTATAGAAGAGGCAAGAGAAACCTTCAGTTAGCTCTATGAGGAAAGGTCTACCAAACTATAAACCATTAAGTCTGTCTTAACTAATGCGTTCCAATGCTGGACAAGGGGAAAAAAGCAGGCTTTTGGTAAATGTGTGGCTGATACGGGGCTTCCAAGCCAACAGTGAGTAGTGGGTCGAGGCAGGTCCCTGGACAATTTGCGGGTAAGCCTGACTCTGCCTGGGTTTTATGCTTTTATTCCCAAGGCCACCCCGAACTGAATGGAAATATCTAGATGTATGAGGCAAGAGTGCGAATAAATGACTGAGAGAGTCTGGTCGTATGTATATATAAAATTCAGTACGTGTGTGTGCGCGCGTGCAAGAGGGTTTGGATGGCTGTGGTGTTAGCGTCCGTGCGGACTGGAAGGGAAATTTTAGGGGCTAGGGAATGGGCCAGAGTGGAGCGTTTCAGGCTGAACAAGTGTGTGCAAGTAACTGACCCTGGGAGAGTACACACGGGGAGAGCCAGAAATCCCCAACTCTCCCCGCTTTCACTGTTGAGGTAGTCGACAGGAGCCCCAGCGAAGACACAGGACACCCTCACCCCTGGGCCGTTCCAGTGCTGCCTCTCCCGGAACTGAAAAAGCATGGAATGTGAAGACCATCCCGAATGAGAATCACCCCCACGTTCACTCACCTTGTCATCCGCCATCTTCCCTGCCGAACTTGTTGCGCAGGCGCAGCCCCGCCCGTTTCATGCCAAATGCCACGGCCATCTTTACTGAGGGCGAAGGCACTTCCGGGGCATTGCGGGAAAAGAGGGGTTGGTTTCCTGGTCGCGAAGCCCCGGCCCGTAGCTTCGCGCAGCTATTTTCTCGTGACCGCTCCCGTCCCGTCCCAGGCTGCGTGTGTGTGTGCGCGTGCGCGCTGATGACCCGGAGTGATGATCTCATTCGTGGGCGAGTGCGTGAGGCGGATGTTCGTCTTGCCGCTCTTCCGCCCCCTGATGAGGTCATAGCTGGTGGGGTGGTGTCTGTGAGTTCGCTGGGGTTGGTGCGCCTGGCTCACACCCATTGCACTGAAGCACGCTCGGACACAGGGGAGCAGGCGCCACCCCTCCACCGCGGACAGTGCTGCTCCAGGCCCGCCTCTTCCCGCCTCTAGGGCCTGTCCCTGGCCCGCCCAGTGTCAGTGCGGCGCCAGTTGGCCTGGAGGCCTCCAGCGCAGAGCCTGGGCTTGTAGGCACAGCATCTCCAGAGGTCGCGCTGGGCTGAGGGTGCGGGCCGGCAGAGGCCGGCGGGGACTCGGCGGGGCCATGCTGGGCAAGGACTACATGCTGGCCATCATTCTGGTCAACTGCGACGGTGTGCATGGAGGGGTCCGGTGGGAGGCCCCAGATCTTGAGGGGAGCAAGGGATTGTAAGGATTCTGAGACTCAGAGACAGGTTGGGGGTATGTTTAGCATGATGACCAGGGGACAAATGAACCTTGATCCTTGCATGTGATGCCTTTAGGCTGGGGGAGCCTGGAGCTCTGACATAAGGACTGCCCTATGAAATGGAGGGAGTGTTATGACAGGGTGCTATTCTGAACTCACAAATAGTATTCCCCCTCCCCTCAACCCCTTATTCCTCTAGATGACTTGTGGGGGGACCAAAGTCTGGAGGGGGAGCCAGGCCTACCCCCCGGCTGGAGGAAGATCCGTGATGCTGCAGGTACTTATTATTGGCATGTACCCAGCGGTAGCACCCAGTGGCAGCGCCCAACCTGGGAACTAGGCGATGCAGAGGATCTAGGCAAGGTAGGTGGAGTGTGAGGAGGGAGCCAAAATTCAGGTGTGGATCTAGGTCTGCTGCTACACTGATTAACTCCCACTCTACAGGGGACAAAGGGGATTTGGGAGCTGCGTCCCCCAAAGGGAAGATCCTTTTCCAGCTTGGAGAATTCACTGGATCGGAGGTAACAGGAATAGCCCAAGCAAAATAAAAGGCTTGGAGTTTGCACTGCGCTCCAAAATACAGCTGGACCCACAGCTTTGTAGCTCAGATTCTGGAGTCTGTTCCTTTTAGGACTGTGTTCTCTGTGCTTGGCTCTGCTCCACATTCTGGACTTTTGAATTTTGTCCTTTGTGCTAAGCTCTTGTGATTAGCCACACGTTTTCTATAATCTGATCTATCATATTCTAGATCTCATCCATTGTTTTAGGCTCTGTTTACGGGGGGCAAGGGTCCTAAGGTCTCTTGTTTCAGTGCACATTGGTGCACATTTTGAACACATTCTTATTTGTGATGTTTGGTTTATGCTCTTTGCCTGTATTTTGAATTTTGTATCAAATTCTAAGCCATACTTCATATTGATTCAATATGTGTTGGGTCTTATTCATCGCTGGTTTTACATTTATGGCACTATATTTCAGGTCTTGACCTACATCCTGTGCTGATCAAATAGTCTGGGCCTCACCAGTGCCTCTAATATAGGAAGTACGGTCCTCTTACCAGCTCTGCTTTCTGTTCCAGTAACTCTCTGACCTGGTATGGTGAGGAATCCTACATTCAGAGCCTGGAGCCAGGGGCTAAGGTAATGACTTGAACTGAAGACCCCCCCCCCCCCCCCCCCCCCCCCCCCCCCCCCGCTTTCCCCTGGGAATTGGAAGATGCCAAGGGAAAGATCAGGGGTGGAACTAGACTGAATAGAGGTGACCAGGGACTAAGGGTGTGACTACCAGATGGTTTGTGTTCAGCACTTGCCACCCTATTCCATCCCTGCTCATTTCTGTCTTTTCTACTGAACTTGTCAGTGCTTTGCAGTCCGTTCTCTGGGTTGGGTAGAGGTGCCAGAAGAGGACCTGGCACCAGGAAAGAGCAGTATTGCAGTCAATAACTGTATCCAGCAGCTGGCCCAGACCCGTAACCGGAGACAGCCCCCAGATGGTACCTGGGGTGAGGTGAGTTTTTTTTGTTTTGTTTTGTTTTTTGCCTTCCAAGGGGTTTAACATATGGCCGAGCAGGAGTGGTTCTTCTTGAATGTCTGTTTTCCATGACACCCACCCTTATCTGATCTCTTGGCCAAATTCTGTCCTTGGAAGGGCCAGAACATGTTGATGATCCTGAAGAAGGATGCCATGAGCCTGGTGAATCCCCTGGATCATAGTCTGATCCACTGTCAGCCTCTGGTGCACATCCGTGTATGGGGTGTGGGCAGCTCCAAGGGCCGGTGAGAACTTTTGCATCCCCCCAAGCAAGAGCTGCTTCTCCCCCCTGCCCCCCAACTGCAGGCTATGATCCCCAGTGATGCTGATCCCTGGCACTTGAACCCCTGGACACAGATCCTCTGACTTGGACCCAGCACTGCCTCCCTTGCCTGGTGGAGCCCTGGTTGGGGAGGGTGGGCCCAACTCAGCAGGGACTGATTGGGGCAAGTCTGAGAGGCTGGGCTGATTGTCTCCTCTGCTCTCACATGCTTCTGGAACAGTGACAGGTATGTTACACCAGTTACCTTAGTCTCAGTCCTGACCTCCCTATTATATCTCCACCTTATCCCTTATTTGACTTTGAAAGCCTCCTGCAGGCACAACAGGCTGTAGCCAGCCTCTACCTCAGCTCCATCTCTGCCCCTGCCAGGGACTTTGCTTTTGTGGCGGGTGACAAAGACAGCTGTATGCTTAAGTGCCATGTGTTTCACTGCGATGTTCCTGCCAAGGCCATTGCAAGTGCCCTACATGGACTCTGTGCCCAGGTAAGGGCCAGGGAATGTGGATGTAGAGTTGGGACTGAAGCCTCTAAGGTAGTCGGCTCCTTAATCCAATTTCCCTCTTTCTCTGTACTTCATGCTGGCTGCATTGCATTTTAGATCTTGTCAGAACGAGTAGGGGTTAGTGGTGATGGCGCTTGCTACTCTCCAGACCCCATTTCACCTGAAGATCTGCCTCGGCAAGGTATGGAGAGGGGTATGCACCATCTGGCTGCTTTGGTGATGAGGGAGTGGGGTGAGGGTTAACTCTTTTTGAGGTGTCCAGTCCTAGGGATCCGAATCCTTTAAGTAGAGGAACATCCATGAGTTTTCCCTGGGTCCAGACCCATTCAGAAGGGTGAAGAAAGTGGTGCTTGAGAGAGTTTCCATGCCAGTTTGGTGTATATATTTCAGTGGAGTTGCTGGATGCTGTGAGCCAGGCTGCTCAGAAGTATGAGGCACTGTACATGGGGACTCTGCCAGTCACCAAAGCCATGGGTGAGAACTGAGGGAGCCAGGGGAAGGTGGGTAAGGCAGGTCTACCACCATTTCTCAGTCTTCCCATTGCCTCACATAAAATGAAATGTACAAGTGTTTCTAACAGAATTCTAAGCCTAGTCTTAGCTGTTCTCACCTCTCTCTGAATCCCAAGACAATGGAATAAACCTAGGTTATCCTTGCAGACTCTTTTCATGTTAGACATCACAGTAGTCATGTCCTTTCCAGGAATGGATGTACTGAATGAGGCCATTGGTACTCTCACCGCACGGGGGGACCGGAACACCTGGGTCCCTACTATGCTCAGTGTGTCTGACTCTTTCATGACTGCACATCCCATGCAGGTACCAGAAGAGGGTAAAGTTGGGGGCTGTAAAGAATGAGCAGAGATAATGAGGAGGCTCATTGCTTATTGCTGGGAGATCTTAGAGTGTCTGGCCAGTACTTGGGCTTCTAGTGACTAAGCCTGGTATGGGCAGGCAGAGGCTGGTGCAGAGGAAGAGCCACTGTGGCAGTGTCCTGTTCGTCTTGTGACCTTTATTGGTGTTGGCCGTGACCCACACACGTTTGGGCTCATCGCTGACCTGGGCCGTCAGAGTTTCCAGTGTGCAGCCTTTTGGTGCCAGCCCCACGCAGGGGGACTCTCTGAAGCTGTGCAAGCTGCCTGTATGGTGAGTTAGGGGTGGGAATGGGGGTTGCAACTGCTCTGTACTGTGGACTGGTCTCAAGATCAGCAGCCTCCAGGGATCCCAGGGTCTACTTGGGTCCACAAGTATTTTGGGTTTTATGGTGGTTTTGGCAAGCTTTGGCTAGTTGCCAGTATTTAAAGGCCATGGTATTTTATAATTGTTATTCCCACTTTTCTTAAAGTATGAGCAGCTCTGACACAGGGTTCACATATAAATTTCAGTCTGCAGTTGTAGTTGTGTAGGAGCTGTGCTATATAAAATGGGTATTGTTTTTTTTTTTTTTCTCATTTGTCTCAATCAGGTTATTTCTTAGTGTATGTGGACATACAAATGTCAGCTTTTTTTTTTTTTTTTTGTCAGTCATGGGGCCTGAACTCTGGGTCTGGGCACTGTCCCTCAGATTTTCAGCTCAAGGCTAGAGCTCTAGCACTTGAGCCACAGTGCCATTTCTGCTTTTTCTGCTTATGTGGTGCTGAGGACTCAAACCCAGGACCTCATGCATGCAAGGCAAGCACTCTACCACTAAGCCACCTTCCCAGCCCCCAAATGTCAGCTTTTTAAGCTACATTAGTTCAGTCCATTTATTTACTCAACTTGTATGAGTGCTTACAGGCTCTGGCACTATACTTACTCTAAGGAACTCAGCAATATAGATGGTCCATAGAACCCTTAGAGCAGAAAGAAACTAGGAAGATGTTACACACCACAGGACAATGGATGAGATATTCCTTCAGGGATCAGGAAGGCTACTTGTAAGAGGTGATAGAAAATAGAATCAAAGAGGAAGTGACGCAAGTGAGGGAATGGAGTGGTTAATTGCAAACACAGGGAACCTCATCTGTGAAAGGAAGAGAGAGATTGGTGGTGTTGAGCATCTGAAAGAATGTAGCCTGCAAGGGAGGATGTAATGATAGTTGAGGGCAGTAAGGATGCTAGAAGCCAGGTGTAGAAGACCCTATAAAGTGATGTTTATTTTATCTTAAAGCACTAAGAACCCCAGAAGGATTCTGAGTGGGACTGTGAAGTCAGATTTGTGGATTAGGATGACCTCTTAAATTAAGTGTGGGTAGAAGATTGGAGAACACAAGAGAGGAGGTAAAAAGGCTAATTACACTCTTTGGTGAGTCGTTCAAACAAGAGATAATTGGGGCAGTTGTATTCGGAAAAGATTAGGACTTCAGCCCTGCCCCTTGACTAAGAGGCAGCTTTACCAAAGACTGGTTCAGAACAGTAAAATGGAGGAAAGGCAGCATAGTAGTAGTCATAGTTAAGTTCAGGCTTAGCAGTTTGACAAACTAGATTTGGGTGCTAACTCCACCATTTTCTGTCTCTGTATCTCAGTATCTTCACTTAGAAAAACGGGACAGCCAGATGCTGGTTGCTCATACCTGTTAAACTTACCCCTGTAATACCAAATACTCAGAAGGCTGAGACCTGAGGTTTGGGGTGTGAAGCCAGCTCAGTCAGGGAAGTCCATGAAACTTCTTTCTACAATTAACCACCAAAAAGCCAGAAGTAAAGTTGTGGCTCAAGTGGTAGAGTGCTAGCCATGAACAACAACAACAAAAAAAGCTCAAGGATATTTCCAAGGCCCTGAGTTCAAGCCCCAGAAAAAAAAAGGAGAAAATGGAGATAACACCTTATAAATAGCTGGATTGAGATTGTTATGTAGACCCCTTACTGAGTCTAGCTCTCCTCAAGTTCTCAGTAAATGCCAAGTTTTATGTTTTTATTGTTGGGCTACCAGGGATTTATATAGTAACTTCAGATATGACTATCAGCCTCATATCAGAAGCCTTGGCCAGTTCCTGCCCTGTAGAAGATTTCAGTGGGCAGAAAGTAGCTGCATCTTCACATTCCCCTTCTCCCTAGGTTCAATACCAGAAGTGTCTTGTGGCCTCTGCAGCTCGAGGCAAGGCCTGGAGTGCTCAGGCCCGTGCCCGCCTGCGGCTCAAGCGGACCAGCTCCATGGACTCCCCAAGAGGTCCCCTGCCTCTCCCCCTTCTGAAAGGAGGGGTCGGGGGTGCAGGAGCAGCCCCTCGAAAGCGGGGTGTCTTCTCATTTCTTGATGCCTTCCGGCTGAAACCTTCTCTGCTCCATATGCCCTAAATTGGTCTTAGAGGGCTGGGGAAGGAGGCTCTGAATCGATGCCCAATTCTATTCCCCTTCATTCCCCAGGGGCCAACAGCCTCTCATCTCTACCCGCCCCTGCCCCTTGCCTATCTTCTATTTATTATCTAGTTTATTGTTGATATAGATGACTGAGAGGCCCTGCACTACTACTTAGGCCCCTGGCTCCCCTTTCCTTGGGTCCTTGCCCCTGTCCAGTCCTGGACAATTGGCTCTACCTCAGCAACACTTTATAGCAAAACCAGTGCAAATAAAAATCCCTCAGTGACCTCATTAGGTGTGAATATATTGAACCTGGGATAAGGTTGGGGTCCAACAACCTGTGTGAAGTGTCTGTGCTTGATGTTGGTGACTGCCCATAGTCATACGAGGGCATGGATAGGATGGAGATCTGACTCCATTCAACAAACATTTACTACAGTCTTTTCTGTACCAGGCACTGGATATAGGTACTAGTTGAGGGACTACCTTCTGAGCCTCTAAGATGAGAAATGAACAAAAGTCAAACAGGTGGAAGATACAACCAGGAAATCTCAGAGGGATGTGGGAGTAGAGGTGAAACTTCACCTGGTCTAAGGCATTTCAGAAGACTTTCTGAAGACGTGACATCTGAGTTGAGTACTGAAGAAGGTGAGTACTGGTTAAAGAGCCTGGAGAAAAATGAATTCTGAGGTTGTCCAGAGAGGTCCATCCAGCTAGATCAGAGGCGCACAAATGGATCCAAGTATGAACTTGCGCCGAAAAGCAATTGGAAGGCACTGTATCCAGAGAAGACAAGGGTGCTGGCCCCTTGGAAAAAACATCCGTGGGATCCTTTGTGCCCAGGACCCCTGTAGCGCATTAGCTGGAGTTTTTGAGCACTTTAGAGAGTCGATGCAGGGTTCCCACGGCGGCTCCCGGTGGTGGAAGAGAACCCTGGTGAACGAAGGTTCTTAACAATGAGCCCGACGCACCCCTAGCGGCTCTCGTGAGCTACCGCCCCGGAAGTGACGCGCTGCCCCGTTGGCGGTGCGGAAGTAGAGATGGCGGAGCTGTACGTGAAGCCGGGTGAGCGCGGTCGGAGGGCTGGGGGCGATGGGGGTGGGCCCTCGGCCTCCCGCAGCCTCATTATAACTCTCCGGCGGAGTTCTGGTCTTGCTTCATACGTCCCCTCAACTTCGCAGGCAACAAGGAGCGCGGCTGGAACGACCCGCCGCAGTTCTCCTACGGGCTGCAGACCCAGACCGGTGGACCCAAGCGCACGCCACTCACCAAGAGGGTCGCCGCCCCCCAGGATGGACTCCCCAGAGGTGCGTGAGGGCCGAGATGCGGAGATCCGCATAGTATGGTTGGTACCAGGGAACCCGGTCCAAGGGCGTGTTTTCCTCCAAAGAGTCCCAAGCAGAGGTTGGGACCCCAGTCTAGGGCTCAGGTCAATAAATGGTATGCTGCTTAAAAAGGACCCTAGCTAATCTCACGCAGACCTTCCTGAAATCATTTTCGAGTTTTGTTTCCAGTGATGACCTCTTCCCAGCAAAGTGTCTGTTCTGTGTCTTCACTTGGGTCTTTAATAAGCATCTCAGATTAACGTGCTATGTGTTCACTATTTAATTTGTATTTATTGGGCACCTGTTAAGAACCGAGCATTGTGTGGTGCGGTGAATGAGGCAAAAACTATGCATTCACGAAGACTTCTAGCATTTGTGACAAACTGAAAGGTAAAAATAGTGATAGGGGCTCTGTAGAAAAAAAGAGATGTAACAGTTACAGTTTAGGAGTTAAGAGTATAGTTAATGAGTTAATACCAAAGTATTATTTATTATAACGTCATTTTGTGTGTGTGTGCGTGCCTGCCAGTACTGGGGCTTGAACTCAGGGCCTGGGATCTGTCCCTTAGCTTTTCACTTAAGGCAGTCTCTACCACTTGAGCCACAGCTCCACTTCTAGCTTTTTGGTGGTTAACTGGAGAGGAGAATCTCACAGACTTTTTTTGCTTGGGGCTGACTTTGAAACATGATCCTTAGATCTTAGCCTCCTGAGTAACTAGGATTACAGGCATGAATCCCTGGCATCTGTCCTTATAACTTTAAATAAGTTAAAACATGATTATAAAGGAACAGCTTAGTGTAAAGGGTTTGAGATACTGTGGTGTGCTTGCCTAGCATGTGTGAAGTCCTGGGTTCAGTGACACCACAAACAACATCCCCCAAAATGTGGAAGCCATTGGAGGCTACCATTGAAGGCTACCTTTTCCCTGAGAAGGCCAGTGAAGACTGAATCCACCCAGAAGGGGCTCAGGTTCGTTTCTTTCAGCATCCTTCCATATCCTTTTTATTGCTGAGGAATAAGGCAGAGTTTCTTAACCTAGGAACTATTGGCATGTTTGGCCAGAGTATTGTTAGGGTAACATCTTTTACAATATAGGCTCTTTAGCAGCATCCCAGACCTTTACTCCATAGATACCTATAGCATTTACTTAGTTGTGGCCAGACATTTGCCCTATAGGTAAAGTCTTCCCAGCTTGAAAAACACACTTATATGATTTATACCTTTAAAAATATCCAGAATAGGGTTGGAAGGTGGCTCAGTGGTAGAATGCTTGCCTCACATGCATGAGGCCCCAGGTTTGATTCCTCAGCACCACATACACAGAAAAAGCTGGAAGTGGGCGCTGTAGCTCAAGTGGTAGATCGCTCACCTGGAGCTGAAGAACTGGGGGACAGTGCTCAGGCCCAGAGTTTAAGCTCCATAACTGACAAAAAAAAAAAAATCAAGAATAGGGTCCTAGGGCTCTCTAGTATTTCAAGATTGCATAGAAAAGGAACCATGGAAGGAGACTGAGAAAAGACCAAAAAAGAGGCAAAAGTAACACAAAAAGACTGAAGAATGTTTATAGGGCAGAAAAGTTAGGAAGGTAGTACTAAATGACAAATATTGCAATCATGTATGATTTTAACAAGACCAATGTCTCTGGAGTCATGTAAACAAAGTCTGCCGGAAAGGCTAGGGATGGAGATTAATATGACAGAGTAACTATAGACAGTTTTTTAATGTGTGAAGCATAGATGACAAATGGGGAAACATCTGAAAATGGAATGCATAGAGGGTTGTTTTTTATAGTAAACAGTACAGCATGTTTTTTGTGCTGATGGGATGATTTAATAGAGAATAAGTACTGATGATGCAGGAGAAAATGGATGATTATAGGGGGAGCCCTAAAGAGGCTGATGCTGAGTACATCTGGAGATGGCTTTTTGATAGGAGCAGGAACCTTTTAAACAATTATAGAAGAGAGGAAAGTAGCCACTGATACGGATGGGTTATTAGGACTAGTTGTGGAATGATGAACAGTTACTGTTTTCTTGATGAAATCTGAGGCAGTGTCACAAGTGGAGAGATAGTAGGGAAAAGGAACAGAAGAGAGAAAAACAAAGTTTAGAGGAGATTAGATGTGAAAATAGTTCTTAGGGGTACAAAATAAGGCAGAATGTCTAGGCACTGTTTGGTATCTTTAAAAATCTTAGCCATTAAGTATTAAATTATAAAGTGAAACTTACCAACAGTTTTTTTTCCTCCCAAGTTCACTTTCATTCACCCATTTCAACAACAGAAAGAAGTACAGGAGGTATATGAGATAGGCTGGAAAGATTGGAAGGTTGACCAGATTTTTGAGGTGGTATGTTGTAAACAGAATAAAGGTAAATGAAAGGGTAGAACAAAAATGGTCATTGGTCGTGACTGGGGTCAAATAACTTACAGACCAATGTACTGGATGCATTAACCATCCTTGCTGGTGTTCTTGCCTGAAAGTTAGTTCTTAATTTTCCTTCAGTCTTTTTCAATCACTGACATGCAAAGTGAAGTCATCTTGACTCTTTTTCCCTCACCCTAAACCACTAAGTCCTGTTACTTCCTCCCAAATCTCAGATCTAGTTCATGCCAGCATCTTTCCTGATGGCTCCGTTAACCAATTGCTGTGCTTGCTTCAGATCTCAGCCTCCTGAGTAGCTAGGATTACAGGTATGAGCCACTGGCACCCAGCTTGCTTCTATTCTTGACCTGTTCCACCAGTTTTTCATTGTTTACATATTAAGGAAGTAAACCAGCTGTGGCTTTTCCCAGACTGTTTTGCTCAAGACCAAATTCCTGCAGTGCCTTGAAAGATCTAGACCCCTTACTTAACCACTCCAGTGATAGCTTACTGTTTTCTCCAATGCTAGTCATTTCCAGCCACATAGGTCTTGTTTTTGTCCTTGAGCACTACACTTACATCCACTCAGTACCCTTTCTTTTCTTTTTTTGGTGTCAGTCTGGGGCTTGAACTTAGGGCTCCTCATTCTTGCTTGGCTTTTTTGCACACTGCTAGTGCTATATGTTTGAACTGCACCTCCAGGTCTAGCTTCTTGCTGGTTAATTGGAAATAAGTCTGAGGCTCTAGGATTAGTCTGTTCTGGCTGGCTCTTAATCTTCATTCTTCAGCCTCCTGAATAGCTAAGAGTATAGGTGTAAGCCTCTGCTGCTCAGTTTAATTCTTCACAATAGCATCTCTCACATTTTATCATTCTCAATTTTATAAAAACTATTAACTTTTTTGCTACATATGAATTTAGCAGCTGTATCCCTATCCATTTTATCCTGTTTATATAGATTTTTAACCCACTACTTTAAAGGAAAAAATTTCAGTAATGCCATTTTAAATCAAAAGATATGTTGCAGTATTTAAACAATGTCTTAAAGTGACTTTCCATGGGTTATATGTTCAAAGGAAAATAAACTTGAGAGATTTCACATGCAAGGCTAACCATATAACCAAAATCCTAGATATGAAGAACAAAGACCACCAATCAGTTTGTACTCTTTGGTAGAAGTCTCACAGCCATGGGTGCATCAAAATCTATAATCCTCACTGCAACTCTTGTCATTACTACAATGACCTCATTTTACATAAGAATCCATACCTCAAGAGGTTTAAAGTAATGAACTGGAATAAACCCAGGTCTTGAACACTTAATTTAGGTAGATCCTCTTATTCTTCTTTATTATATAATCCATTGTTTCTTTATAGTGTGTAACATAATTTGGTAATTTAATTTTTTTCCCCTTTCTCTCTAGAATTTAAGCTTTCTGAGGTTAGAAACTTAATTAGTCTGGTTTATTATTCTCTTTGGTGTCTAGCACACTGTCTGCATCTGCTTAGAAGGTAAGTTGAGCCTTTTTACCTATTTAAGCCATGTTGCTTAATCTTGCCTTTCCTTTTCAAACAGTTCCTACTTCAGAGACTTCTCCTGGGCCCC